GTTTTTCCACTTCCTGGTCCTCTTCGGCAGTAGTGCTGTAGCCTTTGCCTAAGAGATGCATCATGAGAAGCCTATACCACAGTGCACTGCTGTGAAATCTTATCTGTAAACTGCAAAATCTCACAAGATTTTACTGAGATGCACTGAGATGATATGCATGGTCACATGTCCTAATCACAAGTGCCAGAGTTCCAGGAAGCAAAGAGAGATGGAGTCATCTGCCCTTAGTCAAAATGGCCACTCTGAAAAGAATGGGGAAGAAAAGAGAAATAAGGTATGTAAAGAATACAAAGCCGGCAATTATCTAGAAATATGTGTTTGTAGATTGCCATTACTAAACATTTCTAAAGTTGTTGTCGTTTTACAGAGTGAAATTCCTCTTCACAGAGCAAGTCTCAATGCTTAGTGTCTGATACTGCAGTACACATTAATAAATTGGAATCCTTGTTCTGCTGACAAGAGATACAAGATTGTAAGTAGTTGTCCTTAAAGAGAAGCAATCAACCATGGGTATTTGCAGTAATCCGATTCCTGACTCTTGAATTGTAAGAATAGGGCACCTTGAACTTTCAGGGATCACATGATTTTGTTTTCCTATTTACTTGCATTCTCCCTCTCAGAGTAGAAATGTCAAACTGAGTGTAGGCTTATAAAACGTATTCCCACTTTTTGGAATTTTAGAAAACCCCCATTATATGTTTGTTATGTGTTCCCATTCACACAGCATGCCCAAAAATGTTCTTAAAAATACAGTAATACCTTGGTTTACGAGCATAATTCGTTCCGGAAGCATGCTTGTAATCCAAAGCGCTTGTATATCAAAGCGAATTTCCCCATAGGAAATAATGGAAATTCAGATGATTCGTTCCACAACCCAAAAATATTCATATAAAACTTATTACAATACTGTACTGTAATATAATACTGTACAAAATATAAAGAAAAATAAACCAATTACCGGTAACTTTGTGGCTGGTGTGAGGGGGACGAGAGAGAGGAGGATTATTGTGTAGGACGACTTTCACTATCACTAACGGAATCACTGCTAACTCTTGACTCAATGGAATCTTTTTCATTTTGTGAAACCTTAACAAGGAATCTATTCAATGTGACATTGCATTGTCATTAAACAGACTCATCGCTCGCACTGCTACAGATTTATTCGGTGGTGCTTTTCTACAAAATTTTGCTCTTATTGCAAGACATTGCTAGTATATCAAGGCAAAATTTTTCAGAAATGTTTGCTTGTCTTGCAAAACACTCTCAAACCAAGTTACTTGTAAACCAAGGTATTACTGTATATGTTACCTTTTAGATGTGTTTGTGTAGCACACCTTTGCAAGTGTCTCTGTACATTTTCCAAGTAGGAAACTCTGTCTGTCCCTATAGAAAGACAATTGACAGACTGAGCTTCCCATCATTAGTATACAATGCTTGTAGATCTTTAACCCTTTGTTGGGACAGATGGTGTTTAGATCTAGATTACAATGAGATCTGCCAACACAGTACAGGCAGGGTTATTTGTGTTAACGTTAACCTGCCCAGCCCCCCTTGCATTCCAGAGCAAAACAGAACAGAGAACAACTTTTTGTTCAGCAATTTAAATTAGTTAGGCTATATGAAGGAGAAACATGTAATAAAAATAAAATAGGTGCAAAAGTGCAAATACACAGTAGGCACATAAAATACACACCTTATTGCAGATCAAAATTTACTAATTAATCATTCTTTTTTTTTTATGCACTCAGACTGAGAGAGGGAAGGGCAGGGCAGCCAATCAGGTGTTATGCGTGCACTTATGCTGACAAGGAACATGCTCGTAGCATGAGGAAGCAGAGTTAGCTGAGGGATTTTGTTTGTCCTTTTTTTTCCCCAAAAGGTATGATATTGAAGAATAATAGGTACTAGCACATACCCTTGTGGAATGCTATAGCTCTATCCTGTGTGATTAAGCCTGCCTGTAAAAGCATTTGACAGAACTAAGGGGCTGAACTGTCATTGCAAACGCTGTAACCCGCAAGTATATTGATGAAATGCAAAGCAGTATGTCTGTACTCAATGCAAATTTCAAGCACCAAACAATACGTTTGTTATGTGTTCCTATTCACACATCATACCTAAAACACTGTCAGTCCCCATAGACAGACTAGGGACAGACTGAGCTTCCCATCATTAACATAAAATGCTTCTAGATTTGTAATCCTTTGTTAGGACAAACAGTGTTCAAATCTAGTTTACAACGGATGATGAAATCTGCCAGCACAGTACAGACTTAATTGGGTTAAAGAATAACTCCATACCCCCCTTGTATTCTTGAGGGAAATTCATTTTGGAGACCAACTTTTCTTTCAGAAGCAAATAAAAAGGTAGGCAGCAATTTTTTTTAAGTTATGCTATGTGAATGAGAACATGTATCAGATATTAAATAGATGTTATCCCAATTTTGTTACAAAAGTGGAAATACACTTTAAGTAAGTAGGTCTACATGAAACCCCTGCTTATCATGGCTCCTTACAATTTTCTAGCTCTATCAATCAAATGCCAGAAATACCCATCAGGAATGCTCTCCTCCCTTTTATCTCTTTATTTCATGTGCTTTCTGGCCTTTCAGCATGTGAAAATAGGAAAGTTTTTTTATGCAGACTGTAGCAGCAGAGGAATGCACAACTTTGGTGCCCATTGAGTTGAGTGATTTATTTTACATGCAAAAGTTTACATTTTCAGCTTAGTGAATCACCCTAAGTAGGTGCAGAAATAAAACAATCAGCAACAGTACACTCTTTATATTTATTCAGCAATTTCAGTATTTAATAGTAAAAATAGGTTCTTTGGTACATTGCTATAACACCATTCTCCTGCAATTGTGCTGTGATACTTCTCTTGTGGTGTGCTGAGTTACTGGATTGTTCTAAAACTTTGGAACCAGCAACAAGGCCTACCTGATGAGGGCGCCAGGGAAGAGGGGGCCTATGAGCAGTGTTAAGCAGAGAGCAGCCTGGGAAGACATGAACCAAGAGCTGTCAGCAGATAATAATGGCAGAGCCCTCATGCATTCTGACACACGCCCACCCGCTGCTTAGGAATCCGACTCTGAAGTCTGTTTGAACAGACATTTGTGGGACTATTGATCTCCTGGTCCCCTGTTGTGCTCATTGGTACATTCCTTCAACCCCCACACAACTACAGGGCAAACTATTGATATGGAGGTCAGCAGGAGCACTAAGGAATGCATAAGGCTCCATGAATGACTGCGTGTTTGTAATTCAGCCCAGAAACCGCCTACAAGTACTTTTATGCACGGTGCACATTTTTCGTACGCATTTATGAATGCGGAGGTGTGAACAAGTTTCACTAAAACGCATTGCTTTTTGTGTTTAGTGCATTTCCACACGTACAGACAAGCACGGGAAAACACTAATGTGTGAATGGAGCCATAAGGGCAGAAGAGGCAAGTGTGTGCTGTCCTGGCAAATGTGGCATTTCATGGGGGGGGGGGGCTGAGATGTGTGTCTGTATTCTGTCAAAAGAGCCAATTCATCGAAATCTCCAATTACATCACTTCCAGGAACTTACCAGCAAGAGATTTGGACGAATTGGCGTTAGTGTGCATGCGAGACAGCATACTGATGAAGTGAATTGTGAATGCTGTTCATAAATGCGTTATGCTGTGGTATAGTAATCCTCCTGGTTTAGTTATATGCTGTCGGGCATGCGCAGTAATGACAATTCCCCCAAATCTCCTGCTGGCAAGTTCCAAGAAGTGAAGTAATTGGAGATTTAGCTGAATTGGCTCTTTTGACAGAACAACGGCTGCACATCTCCTTTCTCCTCCTCCTCCTTCCCACCTCCTGCACCCACCCACACAGAACTAGAGAGACCCTGCACATCCTCCTGAGACACCACACAGCCCTGGTGAAACTGCGCATAGCCCCGGTGAGACCGGATGCAGCTCTGCTGAGACCGCACGCAGCCCTGGTGAGACCCTGCACAACCCTCCTGAGACCCTGCACAACCCTCCTGAGACCCTGCACAGCCCTCCTAACACCCTGGAGACATCAGGCCACCACCCCGGAGCAACATAGAGTATGAAGCCTTATATTAATCTGCATTGATGTATAACGTATTGCTGGGATTTGTAGTCCTCTATATCTAATGCTATTTTTAATTGCTGTATAATATAATGCTGGGATTTGTAGTCCTCTATAGCTGGTGGTATTCTACATTGCTGTATAATGTATTGCTTGGATTTGTAGTCCTCTACAGCTGGTGGTAGTCTGCATTGCTGTATCATATATCGCAAGGATTTGTAGTCCTCTATAGCTGGTGGCATTCTGCGTTGCTGTATAACGTATTGCTTTTTGGCAGACCTCCGTGGTGGATCAGTGTCTTTAGACCATTTTTGGTGCTCTCTTCTTTTGGTGCGGTGGTGCCCCTCCTGATCCACCATAGAAGTGAGGCTTGAAAACACTTCATTCAAGTCTCTCCTCCATGACAGACTAGAAGGGACACTGCTGGGAAAATTGAGCGAGCCAAGAAGTGGCTCCTAAATTAACTAAGCAGGACTGGAGAATGAGGCGATTGGAAGCCTTACCTCTCCGGTGGATCAGTAGGGGTGTCTGGATGTTTGGATAGAGGACTTCTCCTGTGAAGGGGGGGGGGGAGCAACTCTGAGTCTTTGCTCTGGGTGACGGAATGTCTAGCTTCGCCACTGCCTGCCATAGTCCTTGGATCTGTTTCCAGATCTGGTGTTTTCACACAACTTAAGAGGGCTCTCCTGTTGCATTTCTGATCATATAAATTAAATGATTAAGCCAACAAAGAGAGAGTAGAACCCTATTCTTAAAGGATCAAGCACAAAGGCTGCAAGAGACAAAATAAATATTTTGGTGGTCTGACTCTCAATTTAACTCTTTTAACTGTTTATTAAAAACAAAAATATACATTTTGGGTGGGTTGTTAACTAAAAACTGTACAGTAGAATAATCATATTTTTTTTTCAGTTGTGACTGGGTCTGGAGATGGAATTGGTAAAGCATACTCAATAGAGGTAAGACCAACTGAATCACGGCTGCCTTTAATTCAGTCATTAAGCGATTTACTTACATCTGGGGACTGTAACCTTTACATGTCTGTGAAGTTTCTCATTCATCCAAGTCATGGTATATTTGTAAAAAATAAGTCAAGGCAACTGGACTTGCTGTATTTTTCTTGAAGACGTTTCACTGGTCATCCAACCAGCTTTCTCAATTCAGAATGAAATGTACCAAAATTATCTGGGAATAAATATGGTTAATGTTGCTCCAATGCACCTCATCTGTTAGTCGCAACCAGGTGTTGATTACATTTGCATAATTGAAGCTAGAAGGTGTTAATAACTTGCCCAGAGAGAGGTGTTAAAACAGCATTGTTTGTGGCAGACAATAGATGTCTCACCCCCTCCCCACCTCTATTCAAGCTTGGCTTCTCCATTTTTACATAAATTGCCTCTTTCACACTAAACCAGTCCTCCTCCCTATCTAAGATGCGTACTTGACTGTCTTCAAAGGAGTGACCTTTTTCCTTTAGATGGCAGTATACTGCTGAATCCTGACCAGAGGGTTAGGCTCTTCTATGCTGTGCCATACACTGGTGTAGCTGCTGTTTTGCTTCACCTACACACAATTCTGAGCACTCCTCACTGCACTAGACTGCATACACAATGTTGTTCCTCTTATGTTTTGGCGTTGGGCCCTTAAAACTTGCGGGTATCCAGACTGGGCTTCAAAACAGAAGCAAATTATTAACACCTCCTAGCTTCAATTATGCAAATGCATTCAACACCTGGTTGCGACTAACAGATTATGTGAATTGGAGCAACATTCACCATATTTATTCCCAGATAATTTTTGTACAAGTCATTCTGAATTGAGAAAGCTGGTTGGATGACCAGTGAAATGTCTTCAAGAAAAATACAGCAAGTCCAGTTGCCTTGAATTATTTTTTACAGATGTAACCTTTACAGGTTACAAGGCCTTCAGAGATGAATGTCTGGAATCTTCTTCTCTTGATCTGGTTTCTACTGGTGAACATCTATTGTTGAGGGGACATACAGCAATACACAGAAAGGACCCCCATGACTAGTATCATAGCACACAAGGGTAATTAGTGCAGTAGAGACTTGTGAGGACACCCGCCTCGAGTTAGGTTTGGTTGGAGTGTCAACAGGTAAACACTTGGTGGCTGGGCTGTATACATATTGTCAATAAATATAACATACAAAGAAGATGTGGAGCCACACTTTGAACCCACCATCAGAAAGGTGAAATGTGGGAATGTGATCTCATACCCTCTGAGTTATCAACATAGGCAGCTGGAATACAGAGCATTATCATGCTGACAACTAAAGGGCCTTAATGCTTGAGGTGGAAAGTTATCGACTAGAAATAGTGGGCCATAGTTCTGTAGTATGGGCTCTGTATCCAATGCTGTTGCCAAAGTGACTTTTGTCTCCTACTCAACAGTTCCTCTAGGTGAAAAGCCACAGGAGTTTGTGGGTATACTCATAAGCCCTCAACTGGAGGTTGCACAACCCTATGTTACAACAGCTTGTAGGTAGGAAAAGTCTAATTGTTGTGTGTGTGTGTGTATGAACCCAGTATTTTAGAACATTCAGCTGTTTTGAGATCCTGAGTAAAGTGCTTGAGAGAGTGTAGTCCACTGGCTCTGTCTCCCACTGGAAGACTTTATCACTTATATGAGAAAAAATGGAAATATTTAGCAAGTTTGACTTTAAAGAGTATCTGCTGCAACCTAAACCTGAGCTTTTATTGGACTCCTGGGCAAATCAAGATTTGGCCATAATTAATATCATGTTTCAGCACAAGCATGCTTGTAAGTGTACCTGACACCAAATCACCCCAAATCAAAGGTCATTGATTGACTTAATATCTGCATCATTGAACCAGAGGCCCTATACCTTTGGTAAAGCTTTGGTAAAAGGCAGGGCAGAGGTGTCAATTGATCACCATATGGTGGTGTTAGATTTGGAGAGTTGCGCAGAGGCCAGATGGGATTGGTAGCTGCAAGAGTACAAACATTTCAAGGCTTCTCACCTCCAAACAACCTTTTCAAGAAAAGAATGCCTAGTGAGGTCAGAACATTGAAATTGAATGGACCATGTTTAACATCATGATTGTGAAAGCTGCTGTATACAGTTGCAGCCAGTGGGCATATTTTGCCCGGTCTGGTAGCAAATCTAAGATCTGCCGAGGGGGAAATTATGAAGCTGAGGATGGTGGTCTATAGGGCATTGCTTACAGAAGTGTCAAAGGGGTCAGATTCATCAGAGAGGTACTGGCAAAGCAAGACAGCAGCAACATGAAACGTTGTGGAGCTTGGGCATGGAGAAGTTTGAAGATTCCATGTAGCAAGACTGTCAGGTGTTCCCATGTCAGGTGTATGATTCAAAAGTAGGGTAGTGCTGAGCACTCTTTGGAAAATTGTTGAGAGGTAAAGCGACCATTTTGAGCAATTCCTTATTCTAATGTATTGTGCAGTGTTGAAAACCATCAGCAGGTCATAGGGTCAAATCACACTTTTACATTGCAATAATGCGTGTATTACCTCAAAGCACATTACTTGTATTCGTGCGTTGAAGTGCTATTCATTTTAAATGCAACTCCAACTCACTAAATCAAAGCAACTCCAATGCACATGCATTGCAGCACAACAGAAATTCACGATAATGCACTACAGTGTGATGAGGGTACATAGGTGAATGAACCTCATGAAGTCATGAAGCAATCAAAGTTCAGGAATGCAGTTTTGTCTAAAAGTACAATGTATAAAATATAGTGTACTAAGATAAACTACAGTGAACTTCCTTTTATAGCTCGCTAATCGTGGCATGAACATTGTGATGATCAGCCGAACCCTTGAGAAAATGCAGCAAATTGCTATGGAGATTGGTAGGTTTTCTTGATATTTTACAGGTCCTTAGAATTATCAACAACAACATATATGCCTGCATACACATACTTACCTACATATATACTGTATTTAGATGTTAAGACACTATACTACGCTGTGCAAATTAAGGGCAAAAATCCCTTGAATAATTACCACAAAAAAACTAAATAAAAACATCTTTGTCAAACCTATGTTATAATTATTCATAACATTTCTAAATTAGAAAAACAAATTTAAATGAATTCAAATAAATAAAGGTTTATTCATTAAGACAACATGAAGTTCAATGGTGATGTTGGGAAAAATAACTTTTATCTCTTTGTGGAAATGTGGTTTCTGCCAACCCCTCAGGTATTCTTTGCTAAGGAGGTGGGTGCATTTGACCTAGTCTGTTAGATTAGGAAGTGCATTGGCCAGTGCAGATAAACCCTGAAGCTTATTGGTTTGTAGAGTAATTTAAAGACACAGCAAAACCTCTATAACAGGAATGTTTCCGTAAGACTTTGAAAATTAAGGTTGTTACTACAATGTGTATCTGATTGAATATCTTTTTCTTTGACTTTGTCTAGGTTTTCAGACTAAATCCCAAGCAAGTTAAAACAAACACAATTTATTGTGCTCATGAAATAATCAATGAAAATATTTTTACATGTAACTATCATGAATTCCAGAATCTTTTTTATATTAGCCTCAGCCAAACACACAGTTCTTACATTGGGAGGGGGAGAATTAGTACTGTGGGTCAAACAGGCTCTGCTGTATTGACATTTTTCCTTTCTGAATATACCTCCAGTAGAGGAGAGCAGAGAGATGACTTAATCAGTGTATTACTTCTCTTCATTTTCCAATCAGCAGGCTATGGTGGGCTGGTGATCAATCTGGAAATACATTACATGTCTATAATCACATTGGTGGTCAGTAGGAGGAAGAATGCCCACTTACAGACCAAGCTAAAGACATTATTGGTGTCAGTGGCCCCCTAAGTAGTAGAAAACATGCTAAATGTTTTGAGCACTATAATTTGTGCTTAAAAAATTGTGCTGCTACATACTGTGTGTAAATAGTATCATTGCCAAATTATATTTTAGCCTATTGTGAATAGATGGTCACAAGTTCCATCTTATCCCTTGAGAAAACAAAAGCAACTGGCCGGGAAAGATCCATCCTGGGCCAAATTTGTCCCTCTGGTGATTCTCAAACAAGAGATATTTGCAGATCTCAGGAGAGCCTGCAGACATAAGATCTTTCTCTGCTCTGATTACAACTGACTGGATCAAGAAAATATTCTGTAGACACCTTTATAATTATATAATATACAGACTTTGAGCTACAAGGCAGGAGCATGTGCTTATAAATGTGCTTATTTTAGGATACTTTGATATTTCTTTGCCATACCTAGTTTTGTTGTTAAAGACATATGTATCAGCCACCAGGCACGAATTTAAACTGACAGTTATGTGGAGACTAGACATGTGCGATTCGTTCCGAATCGAAATTCGGACGAATTTTTGGAAATTCGGACATTCGGATGTATCCGAATTCCGAATTACAGACATAATGAATGCAAACGAATCCGAATTTCCATTTCCGAAATTCGGTAGCGTTAGTACGAACCTTCGCTTCGTTTTCTGTTCTTATTCGTTTCTTATTCGTTTCGTTCGTTGGAGCAAAGTGACATTAGAGAAGGAGAAAAATATTTTTTCCCCCTCAAATGTCACTTTAGCGGCAAACGAACAAACGAACGAAACGAATAAGAAACGAATAAGAACAGAAAACGAAACGAACGTTCGTACTAACGCTAACGAATTTCGTCCGAATCCGAATTCCGAATCCGAATTGACTTTCACACCTGAATCCTGAAAAACGAAATAACACAAATCCGAATTTAAAACGAAACGAAACTAAACGAATTTTTTGGCAGTGCACATGTCTAGTGGAGACCCTAATACAGCTCTCATGGTACACAATGAGAAAATAAAGACATTAAAGTAACATTTTCACATATTCTTGATATGCACCAATAAATGTAAGAGTTTGTCTGTTATTTTGATTCTATTGCAAAGTGCCAACATTTAACAGTATGTAATTTTGAAGCGAATATAGAGCGTTTTATAATACTTTGAGTTAGTAGTCCCCTTTAAAGAGTTGTAAAGTGATCTTCAAAATGTTATAATATATATTCTTTGTTTTCATAGAGCAGGCTACAGGAAGAAATGTTAAATTAATACAAGCCGACTTCACACAAAATAAAATATATAAACATATTGAAGAAAGTCTAAAAGGACTGGAAATAGGAATTCTAGGTAAGATCAAGAATTGTCCACCACAAGGTAATTTAATGTACACCTCTTTTTTTCTGTGCTTGTCTATGTGGATAAACAAATCTGCCCTTGTTCAGAGCAGGATCTGGCTCACGCAAGAGAATGCATGGCATCTACAGAATTCTAAATAAAGCTATGAATACTTGAAGACAACACAAGATCTGAACTCACCCAAAGCTGCATTGATGTGTTTGCTACACGTAGGCAGCATTCCCCAGATAACTTGGTAAATTGACAAAAGCTGGGGTTTACCATGGCTTCTCAGGTTCTTCAAAGCAGTAAAGTAAATGTAAACCCTAAACCTATTTTTCAGTATGTGTGGCATTATGTCTCAGTGTATACAGTTTTCTCAAACAAATCTGTTGCAAAGTTTATTGCCAGTAACAGCACCTCCTGTTGAAAACTGACTGCGCTAAAAATAAAAAATAAAATAATGAGATAATGTGACCCCATCTGTTCTCCAGTTAAATATTGTAAATTGCAATTTTTACTATATATACTATATTGCCAAAAGTATTGGGACACCCCTCCAAATCATTGGATTCAGGTGTTCCAATCACCACCATGGCCACAGGTGTATAAAACCAAGCACCTAGGCATGCAGACTGCTTCTACAAACATTTGTGAAGGAATGGGTCGCTCTCAGGAGCTCAGTAAATTCAAGCGTGGTACTGTGATAGGTGGCCACCTGTACAATAACTCAATCCGTGAAATTTCCTTGCTACTAAATATTCCACGGTCAACTGTTGGTGGTATTATAACAAAGTGGGAGCAACAGCAACTCAGCCACGAAGTGGTAGGCCACGTAAAATGACAGAGCGGGGTCAGTGCATGCTGAAGCACACACTGCCAACTGTCAATAGCTACAGACCTCCAAACATCATGTGGCCTTCAGATTGGCACAACAACAGTGCGTAGAGAGCTTCATGGAATGGGTTTCCATGGATGAGCAGCTGCATCCAAGCCTTACATCACCAAGTGCAAGGCAAAGTGTCGGATGCAGTGGTGTAAAGCACGCCGCCACTGGACTCTAGAGAAGTGGAGATGTGTTCTCTGGAGTGACGAATCAAGTGCCTCTGTCTGGTAATCCGATGGTCATGTCTTGGTTTTGGAAGTTGACAGGAAAACGGTACGTGCCTGACTGCAATGTGCCAAGTATAAAGTTTGGTGGAGGGGGGATTATGGTGTGTGGTTGTTTTTCAGGGATTGGACTTGGCCCCTTAGTTCCAGTGAAGGGAACTCTTAAGACATCAGCATACCAAGACATTTTGGACAATTTTATGCTCCCAACTTTGTGGGAACAGTTTGGGGATGGCCCCTTCCTGTTCCAACATGACTGCACACCAGTGCACAAAGCAAGGTCCATAAAGACATGGATGAGCGGGTTTGGGGTGGAGGAGCTTGACTGGCCTGCACAGAGTCCTGACATCAACCCAATAGAACACCTTTGGGATGAATTAGGGCGGAGATTGCGAGCCAGGTCTTCTCGTCCAGCATCAGTACCTGACCTCACAAATGCGCTTCTGGAAGAATGGTCAAACATTCCCGTAGACACACTCCTAAACCTTGTGGACGTCTTCCCAGGACAATTGAAGTTGTTATAGCGGCAAAGGGTGGGCCAACTCAATATTGAACCCTACGAACTAAGACTGGGATGCCATTAAAGTTCATGTGCGTGTAAAGGCAGCTGTCCCAATTTTTTTAGCAATATAGTGTATATACGTTTCGAGGTAACATGATATTTTTCTGGAGTTAAGTAGACAGAAAAACATAATAACATAACGTAGCCCTCATGAATATTTAATCCTCTCATTTAGGTCCACTGTTCATCTGGGTTGTATTCTCTCTCTCAGAGCATCCCTTTTCAGTGTCAGAATGAAATGCCCCCAGAGGGGCTGTCCTCTATTCTACCTAAGCTAAATGCTAATAACAGAAAATCATAAAAATATCATATCACAAAGTGTTGTCGTAATTGCATTAAAGGAGAACTATGAGATGAGTGATTTCCACTCACCTCATAGTTCTAGCCGACCTGTGACAATGAGACTGTCACAGGTCAGCTCAGTAGATCGGGAGGTGAGCGAACACATACCGGGTTCGCTCACCTCTCGATCCTGTCACGGCTCTCTGCCGTGACAGGGGGAGGGGCTGGATTCCCCGCTCCGATCTGCCAGCGCTGACTGGTGGAACGGACGGGGGAGGGGGCGGGTACAGCTGGCTCTGCCTCTAGTTAGGCAGAGCCAGCTGTCACTCAAGCAGCTGGGCGGATCCCGTCTTCCGAGTCGGGATCCGCTCCAGGTGCGGCGTCTCAGTATACCGCGAGCTGTAGCTCGCGGTATACTGAGCTTAGGGTAACGGGAGGACGCTAGTTTGACCCCATAGTTCTCCTTTAATTCTTTTCTCAGTCACTTAAGAGGGAGAACTGAGGAAAGACTGTGAATGCATCTATCATGGCCACACCCCTGTTATCACAGCCTGTTTGGCCTGAGTACTTCAGAAAAGGCGAGAATAAAAACATATTGTGAAATTGTGAGCTATCTAGAGGCACATATTGTGCCTCTAGATAGCTGTCACTCAGGCGTCCATGTCGGGATCCTCTCTGGCTGCGGCGTCTCAGTATACCGCGAGCTACTGAGCTTAGGGTAACGGGAGGACGCTAGTTTGTGTCCTCCCCTTACCCTAAGGAGAACTATGGGGAAAAACACTGACCCCATAGTTCTCCTTTAAAGAAAACAAGAGATTCTGATACTTCAATCTTCTACCCTCCTTCAGCTCTGAGGTAGAAAAGTATGCAATCCGTCACCAGGTTGACATTTTTGCTTTGGAAATAATACAAGTTAATAACAGCTAAGACTACACCATTAGAACATCTTAAGAGTGAGCAGTCAAATTCTTTTTACTGCCGATTTCTGACTGGCTCCTTTTAAAGGTGTAGTGTAACAAGAAAATTAGTCTGCAAAGATCTACTAGCAATATGCATATCATATATTAATAAAACTTTGGTCATGCATCTGGTGTGTTTTCCATGTCAGTGTGTTTCTGTCTTCTTACACCTGTGTCTCATCACAGTTCACACCCTCACCAGTCAGGGCTGGTATGTCCGTTTTAGGCTCCTTTCACACGGGCGGTCTGATTGGGTCCACCTGTCGGTTTTTCAGGTGGACCCAATCGGACGCCCAATGTAAGTCTATGGGCAGCCGCATGTAATGGACGGCGTCTGTTTACACCCGGTTACCCCCAATTCCAGCCAAGTCCGGGGTAATCTGATGTAAACAGACACATGTCTGTTCACAAACGATTCCCCATAGACAGACATGGGGTCTGGTAATTTCATTTTTTTCCTCCATCACAAGATGACATACGATCCGTACAGCTGTGATCCGTGCATGGAACCTCTCTTGATCAACCCACGTATTATACATACAGTATATGCTGATCTTATCTGTCTTGCCTTTGGCTTCTGATCCTTTTTGTCTGTATTGGCTTTGGCTTCTGTTTTTGCTTGTTCATGTATCCTGCTGCTCATAATTATGACTCTGTCAGTACCTGTGTGTCTGATGGGTACTAGCACTCTGTGTGTCTGCCTGTTGTTTGGGTAGCTTGGTAGGTCCAAGGATTCAATACTAAGGGTTATCCTGCCACACAAGCTCCCTTTATACTTTCAACAACTCCTGTCCCTGCATCCCAGTGGAGCCCATCCAACATCAGCTGTGAAAACCATTTACTCTTGTTTGTCTGCTCTGATCCTATACAAGTACTCCAGTTTCTGTCTTTGCTCTGATCCTGTACCTGGTCTTCCTCATTTCTACAGTGTTCCCAGACCTTCCTGCTCTGTCCTGGATTCCCACTGTTCTCCTGTCATCAGGTCCCATTGCCCAAGGAGTCCCCAAAACCCCTAGATATGTGACCATTAGTCTATGTCTGTTGTTTAAATTGTATAACTTTTACCTTTTGATTTTGCAGTTAACAATGTCGGAATGCTTCACAACCCTGATCCATGTTGCTTTCTTGCTGGACCGGATAATGATGAGGTGCTTTAGTTCAAAGTTTATTGAAATATTATTTTTCAGATTTGTTATATCATTTACTTTATTTTCTGTTGTTCATTTTGTGTTCTGTTAACTAAGTACATTGCTGTGCACAGGTATTCGCCCCCTTGGACCATTAACATTTAACTGGATGATAGAGATGTATAGCATTTTATTTCCACAAAACACTTAAAGGAGATCTATGAGGTGAGTGCTTTTCACTCACCTCATAGTTCTAGCCAACCTGTGACAATGAGACCATCACAGGTCAGCTCAGTAGATCGAGAAGTGAGCGAACACATACCGGCGTTCGCTCACCTCTTGGTCCTGTCACGGCTCTCTGCCTTGACAGGGCACGGGCTGGATTCCCCCCTCCCCGCTCCGATCCGCCAGCGCTCACTGGCGGATCGGACGGGGAAGGGGGCGGGTACAGCCAGGGGCGTAACCAGAGTAGGTTCTCCTTTAACACTCTGGAGATGCAAATTATTATTGTGACAGTTATTTAAAAAAAAAACAGCCATTTGTTGGTTGCATATGTTTTCTCCACCCTTCTTAAATCAATGCTTGGTAGAATAACATTTAGTTGCAATTACAGCTGCATGTCTTTATGGGTAAGTCTCTACTGGCTTGACACATCTAGTTTTCTTAGCAAAATAGCTGTCAGGCTGAACAGGAGCTGTTGAAAAAAGTCCTGACACAGGTTCTCAGTTGAATTGAGGTCTGGGATTTAACCGCGTCATTCCAAGACATACTATTTCATGGTTTTGGACTTGAGTCCCAGTCTCAGGTCTCTTGCATACTGAAAGAAAATTACCTTTAAACTCGCCCTGTGTTTGGCTCCATCCATCTGGTAACCTGGCAGTGTAAGATAACTTTAGATCAAATGTCAGATTTTTTTTTAGCAAATGCTTTATTTTGTCACTTCTCCAAAAATCCAAGCTTTGTGGACTGGCATGCTTACAATTGTCCCATAGATGTTTTTCCAATCTCAGATGTAGATCCATGAAACAGTGATTATTGGCCTCTTGCTTGTTTCTTTTGTTAATACCCTTGTTATATGGTCTCTAGGCTTTGATTGACAGCCTTCTCTGGGCAGGTTTATTTAGGTTGGATTTACACTGTTCCCTTAACACACTGTCCATATGCATCATGCCACCTTATACTATAAACTATCATTTTTGGGTAACATATTTTTTTTATATGTTTCCTAAACTAATGTTTTATTTCTGTTCTTTTACTGTTTATAAATAAACACTTAGCATTGAGTACACCCATAATACTGGTGTCACAGAGCATCATGGGTTTCTATATAGAGAGCACAGCAGAAGCTGTTTGCTTTCAGACTCTCCCTGTCTGTGACTGACATTTGGCATAGTCCATCTGAGCGGACAGGTTCCTTCCTTCTGACTTTGCGGGTGCAAATTTCAGCTTGGCTCTATTAACATGTTTTTTCCATCACAAGAGCTCCACTTGGTGGCTGCATATAAAAATACTTACGGTAGTATTGGCATGCAGGATTTCGTAGGTACCTAATTTTAAAAAAAGAATAGTTTGTAAAAAAAATGTTTTTACTCTAAATCAAAATAAAATATTAAATATTTTAAATTTTAAAATAACATTTGTAACAACTCCCCTCTTCTCTTCATTTAGAATCTGATTAACTGCAATGTGACTTCTGCTGTTAAGGTATGCATGTTGGGTTTTGCTAATTACTCAACAATTTCACTTGTAATAGCTCAGGTATTATAGAATAAATTAATATCAAGACTAGTTAGAGACCAAAATCAAGTGATTTGTGAATAAATTACTTTGTGCCTGAAGTGTTAAGATGTGTCACCTGCACTCCTTACAGTGATTGGACCTAGTGGTCATGGTGCTCATAGTGGGGTGTAAATTGGTGTTTTCCTGTATATATACATGCGAAGCTGCATTGAGCGATTGTCACTATGACACCTTGTAGAAGGGACCCTGTGTGGCCCTGAACCATTGGCTAATTGACGCTTGTTACATGTTTTTTCAATAAATAAGCAAAAGAATTGAAGGTCACTATGTCGCCTTGAAGAAGGGACCCTGCGTGGCACCCGAAACTTTGGCTAATTGACGCTTGTGACATGTTTCTTCAGTAAATAAGCAAAATAATTGAATGCTTTTGACTGAGTGCTGGTGATCTCCGTCTTTAGAATCTGCCCGGAAACTTTAAAATGGTCTTGTGGCCTTGTTTTTTTTATGTTGACTGTGGTGTGTTCTCCATCAATATTGGCTGCATGGCAGCTGTTATAACCAGTCAAGACCACACAAAGGGGATGTTTTCAATGTGACTTGTCACATACTGCCTCGGAAATTCAGTGGTGAGATTTTTTTTAGAGTGTTACAGTTACAATACATTTCAAGACCATATGGTTAGGAGCATTTAATTACTTTTGACAGGGAGTGTTCCCAGCAGACAGAGCAATATTACTGAGTAATGAATATGTATTTCTCTCTGGCAAATGACTAGGTGGTTTATTGCCAGTGGTACATGCTGGGGGAGAATATAAATATTTGGGGTAATTTTTAAAAGGGAGCTCTGCCTTCCAGTTTTTTCCTGGGGAGGAGGTTGTGTTGGAAGTCTTTTGATTTGTGCTGTTTGGCTTTTCTTAAAAACTACCTATTTTACTACAAAAGAAGTCTGGAGCTGTATTTTTGCCTGTTTCTGGGTATCCTGTGCCCTAATACCTCTCCCTAGTTCATTGAGCTAAATAAACTTTTTAGGGTTCAGAATTGACTGGCACACATTTTTTTCGCCCATAAAAAGTCAGGGATTCTGCCCTGAGATTGAAATGCTAGCCCACCAAGCCCCCTCATTCACTGCCCAGGGGTAAGGAGGTGCGTGCTACAATCGGTGCACTACTAAACAGGGGTCCACAACCCACAGATCAGTACAAAGGTCTCCATGGGGTGATCATGCAATATTAGTGCTGTTTTAAAGATCTCCTCAGTGATTTCCCATATTTTCTAACTAAATTATCTTGGCTGTATTAACTCTCAACATGGCTTGAAACAGATTGCTTGCAGATATTTTCTTAGGAAACAAATGTACTTTATTCTAATTTTAAAATGTTTTGTAGTATGAAATGAAGTATCAATGAAATCAGAAGATCCCCTTGACATAATTGTGCCAGATTGTAAGCCACATTTTTCAGAGAATTCTTTTTACACATTTTTCTCTTTTTATTTTAATTCATGTCTAGTGAATTGGAAGTATGCTGCCAGTTTTCAGCCAAGTATTCACAAAATTGTTCTGGTGTTGTTTATTGCAATGGAAATGTATAATAGCAAATAAAACTTTAAAAGAGTTGATTAGTCTTTTAAAGGGTTCATGTGATAAATTCAAGGCAGTTATGCAATTAAAAGACATAATAGTCATATAAAGTAAAAACAAAACTGGGATATTTACCTATATAGTATAGTATCCAATACATTGCATCTGAAAAATTAAAGAACATTTGTTTTCTCTGGACAGTACTAAAAGATAAACAAGGTCCAATTGTTTAATGGCTACCCCCCACATTCACTGTGGGAAGATAAACAGAGAAAATAACATTTGTGGAAAAAAGGTTAGGTATTTTACTTATCTTATCCTGGCTTACACTCAATGCGCCTAGGCAAGGGTGATGTCACCATCTTTTCTGGCAAGAGCCCAGGGATTGCTGAGTGCACCAGCTCTTACAAGAAGACGCTCCAGCACAGTGCAGTAGCGTCTTCTTGCAAGATTTCAGGTACTCAGCAATGCCTGAGATCTCACAAGAAAGGATGGTGATTTTACGCTCCCATAGGCGTTGTGGATAGAAGCCAGGATAAGGTGAGTATATTTTTTTTATTTTGTTTTTTAATGTTTTTTGTTTAATTTTCCTAGTGTTTGGCATTGAAAAATGCAATGCAAAATAGCAATGGTCCCCTTTAAGTGTTTTTAGTTTTTTTCCTCATAAAGGGGCTAGAGTTTCATGGCCATGTCTCCCCATTGCATCCAATCACTTATAATAGTGATAATAGTGATTTGCTATTGCCATGATCTGTTGCTGCAGCAAAAGACATGTCAAAACTGGATAAGTTCTGCCAGGCTTCAGAATGGCCGTTGAAACTGAGAGGAAATGCATATATTACATGTCAGAGATATTGGGAGTTTCTATGCTAGTGTATTTTCTATGTAGTAACATTGTACTACAGAACATTCTGTAGCACGATAGGAAAAGCCCAGTCTAGTCTCTTAAGCTACTGGGCAGATTACTGGACCCAGGCTGTCACAGACGGCAGCATTTTCAGCATCAAAACCAACTGGATCTGATGCAGCCAAGTTGTACGTCAGCCTTTCTGTTCATTGGCAAATCTGTTGCAGTGGAAGAGCATGCCTCAAACTGCAAATCACAACATTTTCATTAATCCAGAACTTTATTAAGGGGGACTAAGGACCATTTAAAAAAATATATATATACTGTATTTAGACCAAGGCAAAACAACCAGCACAGCAGCCCATGCAGCTGCTACGGGACCAGAGGACAAGGGCCCGACAAGGACCAGTAAGACATTAAAAACTCACATTTTTTGTTATTTATTATACATCAGCATATACTTTTTTTCAGATGACAAGAATAATATTGAAACAAATGGAAGAAAGGTGAGACCTATTTTGTGTACCAGCTAAAATAGCAATATATTTTTGTAAATTATGGAAATTAAACTTACACAAATATGAACTATAACATAAATCCTCAAATATTCTCTTTTGAAAAATATTTCCTACTTTTCTGTAATTAAACATTTCACTGGTTCATGATTTACAAAGATATTACCTGTTTTTGATATTTGCTTTCTTTTCTCCCTTAGTACATTTGAATTTCTCCAGTTCCTAGCAACCTTATACTTTTTTTCCAGGGCCATTCCGACTAATATTAAAAGAGAAAGACACTTTATGTTTCCTGTCACATATTCTTCTTTACACCACAATGAACATGCACTGTTCTCACTCTGATCTCAGTATGTTTTCCGCTTTCCTTTAAATGTTAAATGGTCTTCCTTTGTTGCCCCTTCTCCCTCTCCACTCTCCTCCTCATTTGTACTCCACCTCACTGTTGCACTCATTCTCCAATCTATCCCTTAGCACATTTTCACTCACAACCTAACTGTCACTGCTCTCCACTTCTGCCCATTGGTTTTTCAAGTGTCTCTGTTCTGCACCGTATATTTCACTCTGCCAAAAGCTCTCAGTACCTCCATTCTGTGTTTTAGACGGTTTTCATGTATCCAGTGCCACTTTCACCTTATATATCAAAGTGACAGGTTTTTTGACTATGACTTTTACTACATGTCTTAGAACACTTCATTCATGGCAGAGCCATTGTAGAGCTCCTTTATGGTAGCCTCTGACTGCCATACTGTGACTATACATCTGAGCTTGAAGTATTAAGTAAAGCTCCTGTACTTCAGTGTGTGTAGTGGCTGGTGCAGAAAACTTCACAGTTTGTAATCATGTCGAGTGCTTGCTCTGCCACTTCTGATGAGTGTTCTCCTGTCCATTGTTTATCCTTCATGTCTGCAATCTACTGCTGCTGTTACTCTTACTCCTCCAAGCCCCAACCTTCTCCTGGTGGCTACTTTCTCTCCTTTGCTGTCTGTTACTTACTACACTGCCTTCATTTTCCCCACTTCTGTCCACAAACGCTCATCTTCCTTTTAAAACAAGCTCACTGTACTCCTCTGATCTCCAGGCCTCTGTCCTGCATATCTTCCATCTTTAACTTTTTCAATCTTCTGTTAAAATCCACACCATGTACACTTTCTCTTTGCCTTCTTCCTATGCCCTCATCACATCTTTCCTTGCTGTCCTCCATGTCCATCCAAAATTAAATCCTAATATATTTCCTGCCCTTGGCTCAACCATCAGCCCCTGCCCACCTTTCTTAGCTTTTACCCTTTCCCGCCATTATCTTTACCCTTTTTAACTCGCTTATCCCCCTTTTAACCACAATTTTTTTTACCATCAGCTCCTACCTTCTTTTTACAGCAGCAGCTCTTGCTTAATCGACTAGAAGGAACTTTACACACCACAACCAAGTATGAATAAATATGTCCACACATGGCAGCATGTATAAGCATGATTCATTCACTTTTAATCAAATTACCTGGGGTGAGGTAAAATGTAAGCAGCCAGTTTGGAAACATTTTTATTGTTTTTAATAGGGCTGTAGTATGTGTGATATGTAGAAAAAAAATATTAAACAGTTCACATTCAGTATTCAGTTTACATTAACAGACCCAGGGCAGATGACATGCGTATGTCATCATCATTTTAATCTTCATACTCAGTCTCAGAACATTACACAAATGTAATCATCATTTCTTTTATTGATTCATACTGCTTTCATGTATTCCCTATTTACTACAATCTCAGTTGTATTAATCTAAATGCAATAACACTGCACAATTACAATGTGCTCTAACAATTCAGTAATACAATTTTCTTTTACAGGAAAAAAGGACTTGTATTGAATATTTCTTCTGCTTTTGGTACATTTCCATGTCCACTTTATGCACTCTATTCTGCCTCCAAAGTAAGTATTTAATGCTGTCAATGGCACTTTTTTCAAAACTCTGTTTTGAACTTTTGAACATGTGACCCATGTACATGTCCCTGGTTTGAATCCTGGCCAGAACACTATCTACAAGAAGTTTGCATGGGTTTCATCCAGGTACTCCCAGTTTCCACCCACACTCCAAAGACATGCTGGTAGGTTTACTGGCTCTGGTCTAAATTGGCCCTTATATGTATGCATGTGAGATAGGGACTTTAGATTGTAAGCCCCTCGAAGGCAGGGACTGATGTGAATGTGCAACTATGTAACTGTGCAACTTGTTGGCACTATATAAACACCAGTAATAAAAAATATTAACGAACCACTCAAATTAAAAACATTGTACACTTATAATTGTTTATTATTGCCATTTCTAGCAATAATGATTCTAATTTCACATGCTTTTATTAGACAATATTCCACATTTACATGCAAACCCAGGATAGGGTTAAGTATAACACTGCTAGAGGTGCTTACATTGGTCACCTTATAAACACGTTCAAAGGCTGTTAAATCGCGTTGTTTACCCATATCTTCAGAAAAAAATAACTTCTACTGTCGTGGTAAACAACCTGCTTCCCTATTTATAATGGTCTGGCCCTCTAGCAACACATACACTGAGTGGCCAGATTATTATGACCACATGACGTTTGTATGCAAATTGGCTATAATTAGCTATAATTTCGCTCTGAAGTTGCATATTCCCTTTAAGCCTTCTTCTTTTGTTTTTTTTTAACTGTTACTGCAGCTGCTCAAGCACCTTTGACAGTGTTATAGTCACTTTTGCTAAATAATGGGGTGGATTCTTAAAGTGTAGGTGAACTCAAAATCTGACAAGGTGGCTGCATATTGCAGGGCAGGGGCTAGCGTTGTCATCCTGAAACAAGAAGTGCTGTTACCGGCAGGATCTCCAGGTAACAAAGTTTGCAATAGACTTATACAAAATATGATTTGCTTAAGAAAATGCTATGCCAAGGCATGATGACAAACATATTGACAAATAGAGTTTGGGTTTACATCCACTTTTAATGAAATGGATTTGTCTTTCTTGCAACTATGCCACAGTATTGAACTTTTTATTCTCCCAACAGGCTTTTTTGACAACATTTTCCAAAGCTCTACAGGCTGAGTATAAATCCAAAGGAATCATTATACAGGTACTTTTGTACAATCTTATTATACAGTATAAGAATATTCAGTGTACAATATTATTTGAAGAAACCTGGCACTAAATATTAGAAGGCATTATGTTTTCTTGTGGTCCTTCTGAGCTTTTCCATGCATTTCCCTAATTCAGCACGACTTTAATGTGTGAACCAATAAATGATATGGGGGAGAAGGGGGGGGGGGGGTTCAAATCCCAGCCAGGACATTATTTGCATGGAGTTTATATGTTCTCCCTGTACTTGCATGGGTGTCCTTTGGTTGTTCCCTTTCCCCTCAATGACAATGTGTGTGCATGTGAAATAGGTATCTTAGATTGTAAGCTCTTTGAGTGCAGGGACTGATGTAAATGTGTGTAAAGCAGTTCCGCTGATGCCTTACAATGGCAACAAGCACAGAGGCAGGTGTTGGTGAAGTGGTGAGTGAGGTGGGGGTATGTGGGAGAGGTGGTAAGCGCAGGGGGAGAGGATGATTGTCAGGTGCAGTGGTAATAGTGGGGTTTAGTGTGCGGAGGGAATAAGGATAGAGGTCAACTGTAGTGGTGAGAGCATAAGGTGGAAGAAGGTGTCAATCTAAATTTGCCCACCCCGTCCTGTTTAGGACATTTTGCACAAACTGTCAGTCACAGGATACAGCGCACATGGGTCTTAGGAGAGCTGTGCAGGGTTTATGGTGGGCTGTGTGGGGCCTATGGTGGGCTTTGCAGGGTCTCAGGAAGACTGTGCAGATTCCCTTTCCCTGCATGCATGTGCTGCTCCTCTTACCTGCAGCTCGAAGTGCCATCAGTATCAACCAGATACATTGCAATCCCCAGCCTGCTTCTGGGACATCCCGCCATCAAATCACATGCTATGGCCAGACCAGAGTCACCCGTTGCTTCTCCTCTGCCTCCTGTACAAAGCCAGCTGGACCACATCTTACTGGGCCCTCCACCGGGCAGCTCTCTAATTAGGCAGCCACTCTTGGGACCTTGCGGCCGCATTGTTTCCCTCATTAGGCAGCCACTGCTAACTGATTCTGTGCTGCCCAGCTTCGGCCCACTGGGCAAGTGCCCATTATGCCCAAAGGCAAGTCCAGCCCTGTCCGCCTCATTGTTTTGGGGCAGCCTTTTCTCCCGCCCCCTTGGAAAGTGCCGCCCTAGGCAAGTGCCTAGTTTGCCTTGCGGTAGATACACCCCTGGTGGTGAGTGGTGCCTCTGTAGAGAGCTGTCAGTTTTAACTCCAGATGCAGTCCTTGTGGTTAGCAGCAAAGGCCAGGTGGGGCTTAGTGGTGTGAGCTGCCAGGCCAGAGTTTACAGGTCATGTGCAAGGTGCAGCAGCAGCTACAGAAAGACAGAAATTAGGAGGCAATGTACCATTAAAACAGGTCCCATGTGCTTCCTGCTGGGTATTGTTGTTTTGGATGGGGATGGTCTACATGTTGATGCTACCATGCATGTTATTACCTTACGGCCACAATTGCACATGTACAAGATATTGGCACCATTTTAGGTTATCCCAAAGACTCCAAATGCCAGAGTAGACCTGGAATTTAGTGACAGTGCTGCTTATTTCCGCTAACCTGCAGTGATTGTCGCAGATACTGGCACAGGAAGTGTCCCCGCACTAATATCCAGGCTAGTGGCTGCTACCCAGCCACTAGCCTCATTAGGGGCTGGGTAGCAGGTGAATGGGGCCATTGGGTTGCTTGAGGGTTAGTATTAACTCTCAAGCAACAATAAACTACAGTTATCCGGAACCTACCAAACCCCTGTGGGTGCCGGATAACTGGGAGTTTACTGTGCCTACATTTTTATTCATGTTGCTGTGCTTAGGTTCTGTTTAGACAATGCCTAAGTTGGTATCCAAAGTGAGCTTTTAATAAAGCCAATTAACCTTGAGTCCACTTGTCCACACATTCATGTGTGGGATACACAAAAGTATATGATAATGCTAAGTTTAAGGATATGCTGTAATCAAATCAGAATATTATGACTAAGCAAATTACATATTCAGAGTGAAAACCCAAATTCTTGTAACCTTCCTATCATTCAATGTAACTTCAGCCATATTTAGCAGAATCCTCATACCCTTGTACATTGTGTGCAATCCCATCCCACTTCCATCGTTGGTCTTTTACATCCTTGACCAGAAAGGAGACTCAGAAAAGGTATGGGGTCAAACTTTCATAAAATTTCATGTAACTGTCTCTGATCTCCTGATAATTTTGACATATAATTTCAGTTAAATAATTCTGCCTATTATTTATTCTTTGCTTAGTTTTAATTGCTCTGGTTTGTGGCAGGTTCAGTTTACTACATTTAATTAGTCTGAAACTCTTTTTTGGTTTATTTAAAAAGACAGGGCAAAGAGTAAATAAAAAACTTCTAGAATGTATTGAACCTCAGCCAAAAAAAATTTTTTCTTACCTTTCATCAATTTCAAAAGTACTACTGTGACCCAAAGTCAACAAATAACATGCTATGGTGCGCTATATGCTACCAGCACAATATTGTCGGGAATCACCCCAGCTGCTTCTCTAAAGCCAGAGTCAGCTGTGTTTGCCCCCTCCCCTGTCTGTCCCTCTAATGAGCCCTGGAAGAACAGGTAGAGGAAGAGGAAACCCTCACAGGGAGCAATGACTGACAGTCAATGCTCTCTGCAGGGAGGAGACCATGAGCTTAGAGATCTGAGGTTACATGATCGCTTAGCTCTTGGTACAGAGCTGACATGGGACAGCAACATTGTAGTATCATGTATAGGCAAACCACACAATATATACACATATCCAGAAGTATGTAGACATACGTCCAAATTATTCAGTTCAGGTATACAACGCTAGGTTCATAAAGACATGCTTTGATAGGTTTGGAGTGTTGGAACTTGAGTAGTCTGCACAGGGCCACGGTCTCAACCCTGTTGAACACCTTTTAGAAGCCAGTTCTTCTCATCTAACATCAGTACCTTGACTTTACTAATGTTCTTTCGGCCACAGACACACTTCACAGTGTTATGGAAAGACTTCCCAGAAGATTGGAGAGTGTCATAGCCACACATGGAGCCAAAGCCATATTAATGCCCATGGTGTTGGAATGGGATGCCCAACACTTTCATATGTGTAATGGTCAAGTGCCCACAAACGTTTAGCCATAAAGTGTACAATTATGATGGAGATGACAGGAGGTAGTTAGTGAGTGGACAAGAGGTAAGAATGAAAGAGGGCAATCATGTATTATCTCTAAGTAATGAAGTTGGCCTGAGGTTATTGGAGTATTGTCCACAGTAATTGTTTTTCATGTTGGTAAGAAGAGTAAGATGTAGGAGAAAATACAAGCAGTGTTTAAACCATATACATTTTAGGCACATGACAGGTCACCCTGGACCCCTGCCTGTGTCTAGACAATGAAAAGAGAAGCAGCACAGTAATGAGCTTATTTCTCTGTCACTCTGCTTTCTCTTCCTATCAGCATGCTTCTTACCAGCACATGTACACATTGGCTCCTTGCACTCATTCTTCCTCTCACACTTCAGCCCTGCTAACTACAAGAGGCTGATACCAGGCCAAGTTCAAGTACCCACTTTGCTTGTATTTATAAATACATTTAATGATGTATTCATAATTGGAGAGTTGTATTCATTTGTCATTTTATATCTAACTGAAGTTCAGCTTTAACCTCATTTATGTATCTTTATTTATTACATTATTATTTATATAGCGACATCTGTTTACACATCGCTTTACATACTACTTATTCACATAAATCCCTGCCCTCAAGGAGCTAAAAAACTAAGGTATTTAAACTATATTTGCTTTTTTATCTTTCAGGCAGTTACACCATATGGAGTTTCAACACCCATGACAAAAAACACATCAACAAATATCATAACAAAATCTTCAATGGACTTCGTAAAAGAATCACTGAATCACGTTACCCAAGGAAGTGAGACATTCGGCTGCCTTGCACATGCTACTTTGGTAAAGAATTCAAAACAGAACTCCGGGCAGTCCAAAAAAAATATTGTTATGCAGTTTTACCCCCATGATTCCATAAATTGAATTGTTACCTTTTGTAATTTGTTTCACCATTCCAGTGATGTCTTGCATGTCCATTTTTGTTGGAATACTGGGGGGGGGAGGTTCTGGCTTCATTATTTTTCAAGTAGATAATTGCTTGTAACCTATACTTCCTGAATGCCTCTGTGCAGATTTTATGTTTTGGGAAGCTGTGTATGTATGGGTTTTATGCTTTTTGTGTTTGCAGCAGTCAACTTTAGGAACCTAGTATTTTTATGTGATAAGCAGATCAGTCACCTATTGCAATTCTTTTGCAAATTCACTGGATGCAGTTTGCTGTAATACAGGTACAATACCATGGTGGAATATTATTTAACTTTACCCTGAGAATATGATGTATTGACTAGATCCTAAAAATTTTTAAAAATATTTCAACCTTAAATACCCTGCAGCCTATGAAAGAAAAGTGTGTTAAGTTGTTACCCACCTTTCAGAATCATTGTTTAATTTTTAACTTTATAGAAAGGGATGTAAACTAGAATCTATAGGTAATAAGTACATTAGCAACACTTCAACACTTAATATACTATATAGCACACTGTGTCCTTCTTGTAATATATATACATACAGTATCTCACAGAAGTGAGTACACCCCTCTCATTTTTGTAAATATTTTATTATCTCATTTCATGTGACGACACTGAAGAAATGACACTTTGCACAATGTAAAGTAGTGAGTGTACAGCTTGTATATCAGTGTACATTTGCTGTCCCCTCAAAATAACTCAACACACAGCCATTAATGTCTAAACCGCTGGCAACAAAAGTGAGTACACCCCTAAGTGAAAATGTACAAATTGGGCCCAATTAGCCAATTTCCCTCCCCGGTGTCATGTGACTCGTTAGTGTTACAAGGTCTCAGGTGTGAATGAGGGAGCAGGTGTGTTAAATTGGGTGTTATCGCTCTCACTCTCTCATACTGGTCACTGGAAGTTCAACATGGCACCTCATGGCAAAGAGCTCTCTGAGGATCCGAAAAAAATAATTGTTGCTCTACATGAAGATGGCCTAGGCTATAAGAAGATTGCTAAGACCCTGAAACTGAGCTGCAGCACGGTGGCCAAGACCATACAGCGGTTTAACAGGACAGGTTCCACTCAGAACAGGCCTCGCCATGGTCGACCAAAGAAGTTGAGTGCACATGCTCAGCGTCACATCCAGAGGTTGTCTTTGGGAAATAGACGTATGAGTGCTGCCAGCATAGCTGCAGAGGTTAAAGGTGTAGGGGGTCAGCCTGTTAGTGCTCAGACCATACACTGCATCAAATTGGTCTGCAAGGCTGTCGTCCCAGAAGGAAGCCTCTTCTAAAGATGATGCACAAGAAAGCCCGGAAACAGTTTGCTGAAGACAAGCAGACTAAGTACATGGATTACTGGAACCATGTCTGTGGTCTGATGAGACCAAGATAAACTTATTTGGTTCAGATGGTGTCAAGCGTGTGTGGCGGCAACCAGGTGAGGAGTACAAAGACAAGTGTGTATTGCCTACAGTCAAGCATGGTGGTGGTGGTGGTGTCATGGTCTGGGGCTGCATGAGTGCTGCCAGCACTGGGGAGCTGCAGTTCATTGAGGGAACCATGAATGCCAACATGTACTGTGACATACTGAAGCATAGCATGATCCCCTCCCTTCGGAGACTGGGCCGCAGTGCAGTATTCCAACATGATAACGACCACAAACACACCTCCAAGATGACCACTGCCTTGCTAAAGAAGCTGAGGGTAAAGGTGATGGACTGGCCAAGCATGTCTCCAAACCTAAACCCTATTGAGCATCTATGGGGCATCCTCAAACGTAAGTTGGAGGAGCGCAAGGTCTCTAACATCCACCAGCTCTATGATGTCGTCATGGAGGAGTGGAAGAGGACTCCAGTGGCAACCTGTGAAGCTCTGGTGAACTCCATGCCCAAGAGGGTTAAGGCAGTGAATATGGGTATATTTAAAGAGAAAGGTCATTTTTTAAAGCTTACAAATTTTTAACTGATGCGGCAGCCCCGGATTGAAGCCAGACTGCCCACCACAAATTAAATTGCCCACAGCAAAAACATTGTCTAATATATTAATAATCGTTTATCTCTGTGTTACAGGGAGTTATCATGAACAATATTCCTCTGTGGGTGATCCATAGTACAAAAGTACAAGAACATTTCCTGCGCCTGTTTAGCAAGGAACAGAAAAAGGAATAACCTTCAAGGCATTACATTCTAAATGGACATAGTATTGTGCCATGCAATCTAATTTTGTTCTACTGACATCACTGATGGATGCTTGATAAATGGCAATAATACAAGATGTGTACTGTATATGGCTTACAAATAGAATAGTTTTTAGTTGTTAGATTGTTAGTGCTAGTGCCATCTTTTTCAGAGCTAAGATGTGTTATACTTTTGACCTTTACATCAGAAAGTTATATACGAGCAGTTCAAAATGGAATATGAGGGCATATCATCAAAAATCATTCAAATTATGGTATCTTCCGATATTCAAAAAAGGTCAATATTTGTATCATGTGCTGGCTCTAATAAACTTAATGGTTTAGATCTCAGGTTGCCATAAAGGGGGAGAGCATTGTGAGAGTGGTGGGTATTTTTGAAGCATTATCACTGGAAATTTGAACCTAATTGTAAGAGCCGCAGTAGAGGATTTGTTGCATGGAGCACTAGTTTTCTGCAGTTTTAGGATTCCCATTTGTGTTCCCTACATAACATTGTTTCTGTTGAGCTGAAAAGTTATTCTCATGTTTGCCTGATACTGTAACTGTTCTTTGACCATATCTTCCCTACAGTGTCTGCTGGTGTGGCTGTCATAGTGGCATTAGATTGCAAGCTTCTTAGGGGGCACAAAGTCATGTAACTGTTTTCTGTAAATTGATGCTGGATATGCTGGGGGTTAAATATTGGAATATAAAAGTGATCTAAACTCTCTGACGTCATAGGTAAAATGACAGTATATATGGTATTAATTTATGTAATGTTTCCCGGTAGCCTCCATAAATGAAAGTATTATAACGTATACCGAGACGATCATTGTTCTACAAGTCAGGAATTGAGAGATGAGAATTGAAGTAAATCCTATTGCCTGCTGGCATTCATTTTTGTAGCTATATCATTTTTAGAACAGAACAACACCCTGCAAATCAAAAACATTATTAAAGTTAAACTTGCAAATCAATGGAAATTCCTTTGATTCGGTGGTTGCCACGAATCCGAATTAACAAATTATATGGCCAAATATATACAAAATATATTCGGGCGTATATAATAATTAGTTTGCAGAATGGGCAGCAGCCATATGGCCCTGTCTGTGCCATCTTGAAAGCAAAGCGAGTGACGTCACATGGCGCGTGCGCGGCATTGGTTGATGTCATCCGCATGTATGCGTGCCATCATTTTGGTGTAGACGTCATATAACGTCACGAGATCTGCCTCCAAGATAGTGGCACGAATGCACGGAACGCGCTGGTGGCCAATATGGCTACGCGGCTTTCTACTGTTTAAATGTGCGGTTTCAGATTCGGAGGTTCATTGCCTCTGAATCCAAAACAGCATAAATATTTGTTTTGTCAAACGAAACAAATAAAAATGTTTTTATTTTTCATTTGTTTCAACCGAAACAAATGTTTATGCTGTGCACATGTATAGTTAGAACTCCTCTGTAAGATTTATATTGCCTTGCTGGGGAGATTTATAGTGTCCTTGCTGGGGAGATTCATCCTCTTTTTTTTGTCCTGAGGACCATTATTAGCAATACTTGAAAATGATGGAAAAAGGAAAAATTTTGAGTTGTCTCCAGAACAGGAAAAGAGTCTACAAGACAGGAAGTGAAGGGAAATCTCCCCAATCAGACAAAAAAAAGTTATTAAAGAAAATAACAGGGGCTTAACTATTTACCACACTAAAGCAATTTTTTCCTTTTGGATATATTTTAAATTAACTGTCATGGTTGAATGCTCAGTATAATCATACTGACATTTTGACTGTATAAGTGTTCATGTATAAGGGACATCAGATTTAGAGGTTTTTTGGTACTTTTGAGGTTTTTTTTTTACCTGCTTCATAATTACATATATTTGCCTTTTAAGTAGTTTAAGGCATTGCGTTGAGGTCCTTCTAAGATTATGGCTATACAGGTGATTACATCTTTTACATCTTTTTCTACTGGGAGATTAAACAGCTTGATGGCAGTCAACTCATTTTCAGCACACCAAAATCAATGTGATTCAAATTTAATAACTATCAACAAGCAGCAACATCTTTCAGTAGCAAAGAAATGTAATCACCAGTGTAGCGGTAGGTTGCTTTGAGTTGCTTTGGGATACCTTTTGCTGTTGCATTCACATTGACTGGTATGGGGAAGAAAGGCAACTGCTACTTATATGCAAACAAAGAAAATACATTTGACTTAATAGTATATACAACCATATAAAATGATGGGAGAAATATTTTTTAAGGAAAACTACATAAAAATTTCAGCAACAAACAGTTTACACTATAAAGCTTTAGGGCGCATTCACACAGATACAGGCATACAGTGTCAAATACGCCTGTATTTGCGGCGCATGGGATTATCCTTTTTTTGTGTGGGATTGATGGTTGAAATAAGCTTTCCATCACCAGGAGCCAGAACAGATCTTGTAACTTTGTTAAGTGAGTTTCACAGCTAATTTTCTGCAGGTAGAGCAGAGCAGAATAGAGCTTAGCTTCATATGACTGTCATACAGTTACAATACCACAGGTCATTTTACAATTTATTTTATAAAAGAAATACTAATGTACTAAAAAAACCAATCAGAATGGCTAAAATAAAGTAATCTTTAACCAGTTTTCATTCTTTGATCCAAAGTTCCTTATATAATTTTAGAGCACAATTTGTGAAATACCTTCATACATCTATTATTCTTCTTAGTCAAATTTAATTTGTGCAATGCCAAAAATGAATATCTGTTAAGATGGTATAGTTTTGAAATGTTATCCTTTATGTTCTAAATTTATAATGTCATAACTTAAAGATAATCTTGGACTGGGTCTTCTGTATTGTTTTAACCACTTCAGCTCTGACAGCTGTATACTCCTTAGGTTCTAGAGCAATTTTTACATTTCTGCTTTGGGTCTGTTTATTCAGCAATAACTTTGTCTTCACTTTCTTTTGGTGATATTGACTTGCTAATATATTTATTTTCAATGTAATCTACAGACAAAAATATAAAGGAAAACTAATATGATTAGTATCAATTTTAAAACAACTAGTGTTATTGTAGTTTTAAAAGTATACAATATATACTAGAATTTGTCTCGCTAATGACACCAAAATTACAATTCTGGTACAAAGCATTGAAAAATTATTGGCAAATGAAATAAAGGTTGTTTTTTTTTTGTTTTTTTTTCTTCAATCTTTTTTTAATAAAACAGACAAAATAACAAACAAAATCAATGAATTTTTTTTAAAAAGGATTAAAGGTTAAGGGATAAGAAATTGGAATAATACATAAAATCAACAGAAAAATTATAGCTAAGGGGAAAAGGGAAAGAAAGAGTTAATTAGAGGAGAAAGGATTAATAATGGGTTTAATAGAAACACATTTTATTAACAAAAAACAGCTTTATCGAACATCATATGCAGATCAAAAGGGGTGACCTCTGCATATAATGGTGGCTAAAGCTAATTTTTAAAAATAAAATATGTTTCTATTTCTGCATAGTACTTGCAAACACAGCCACAGTCATTTTGAAAGTCGCTCATTGCTAGTGAGGTGGGGGGGTAGAATCAGGGGAAGAGGTACAGGGCATGCTACATAACCCCTGTAGACTTTGGGGTCTATTCACAAAGCTGCCGAAGGATCTCGGCCGATCCTTCGGCTAGCTTCGGCACCAGGACCCCTTCGGGTTCAGGAGAACCGAGGGCGTGCTGTACGGCTATTCACAATAGCCCGTACATTTTTTTTGCATACATGGTACACGACACAAGATCCATAAGAGGTTAATACCAGCAGGGCATACAGCAGGGCATATCCATATAAATAGAGCAGAGCTGTTTTAAAACAGCTGGAGAAATACTTTCTAGAGCAGTTCTGAAGTTGTTTGTAGAGGCATATGGAGCAGGCTGACGATTTAATCTGGTTTTACAGCAATTCTTCAGCTCGAGCTAGACTGCAAGAGCCACTTCAGAGTGGGACCTCCAAAAGTGGAGTGCTGCCAAACCCAGTATGCAGTCTTCGGCACATGCCTGATGTCTGCGGCTAATTATTTGAAAAAATATTATGTACTCTGGCCATAATCAAAGCCAACTGTCCATTTTCCAGCCACAGCATTTTTATGTTGTCACAAACTAAAAACTGGACTAAATATTTAATTTTATTTTAGGTGACTTCTATGACAGGGGTAGGGAAACTCCTGCCCCCCAACTGTGGTGAAACTACTAATCCCATCTCGCATCTACCTTTTGAAATCATGCCTGTGGCTGTCAGTGTCTTGCAATGCCTAATGTAATTGATAGTTGCATCACAGCTGGGGTGCTGGAGTTTGCCTACCCCTGTTCTATACTAATCCATCATTGCCTACAAGATTCTGCAACATTTAACAGATGTGCAGAAGTTCGATCCCACTAGCTTTTGGCTGTCAGTAAAACGGTGGATTATAAAATAAAATAGAAGGCACGATGGTAACTGCCATTGGTATGGAAAGAAAAGTTTAGCATGGATCTCATGTCGAACTTTAAAGAAAATAAAAACCCAATAAGGGGAATTTACCAAAACGGAAGCAGACAAAATCTGGAGCAGCTGTGCATGGCAACCAATCAGTTTCTCTCTTTCATTTTCAAATCTTAACTCAACAAACTAAAGAGAGAAGTTGATTGGTTGCCATGCACAGCTGCTCCAGTTTTTGTCTGCTCCAGTTTTGATAAATTCCCCTCAGGGCTTGCTCACACCAAATCCGGACCAGATCTGCATGAGTTTCTGCAGTGCGTTTTGACCTGTTCCAGTCCGTTTTTTTAAGCCTAAAATGGGTCTTTCAGTGCGTTCCAGGGCATTTGCATGCGTTTTGGTGCATTCCAGAGCAGAAAAAATAGGGCATGCTGCAGTTTTTTTTAGTGGAACTAAACGCTGTGGTGTGAACTAGAGCCCAAAATACCATTGGAATACATTGGCTGCATTTTTGATGTGTTCTGTAACTGCTCTGCATCTGCTCCGCACTTGACATTGAGATGTGGGAAACAAAAAAC